TAGAAATAAATGTCTGATGTTTATAAGCCACCCGTTCTAGGGTACTTTGTCATAGCGGCCCAGACAGACGAAGACGGCCCCCATTTAAAATCCTCAATGCTCTCCAGCACCTCAAGTCCAAGCTTCTTTCTCCGGTTCATGCAGCTTTCTCTCAGGCACCCTCACACACCTCACACCTGGGCTCATCACTCCCAGGATCACCTCAGCCCTGACTCCCTCAGCCCCATCGCCCAGAGCTCATGCAAATCCACTGCGGTTCGCCTTGGAAAGGTCAATCCGCTGGGCAGGTGTCCTCGGTCCCAGGCCCCACCGTGCCCATCAGGGATCCTTCAGATAGGTTCTCTTAGAACTCCAAAAGACTCTTTGACCTGGCTGCTCTCCCACGCCGGTCCCCTTCAGGGCCTCAGGCCGTGCTGCCTCGGCCCAGGTTCTCCTGCGGCCTCTTGGCCCACCTTCAGCCTGGGTCCCCTTACCGCCTCAAGACGGTGCGGCCTCGGTTTGGGTGCCCTCAGCCCAGGGCCCTCCCAACACCTCAGACTATCTCCCCTACAACCGTGTTGCTGCTGCCCGGGCCCCCTGCCCTTAGCCTGGGTCCCCTCCGCTACTTTAGACCACGGCACCTCCTCCCGGAATCCCCTCCGTTCTCTAGGCTCGAGCCGTGCGACTCCGCCCCACCGCTTCAGGCCACGACTCCGTCGTCCTCTCAGTGTAGGTCCCAGCCCACCCCTCGGCGTGGTTCTCACCCAAAGAGGCCCGAGAAGAAGGACTGCGAGTTCTTCACTTTGCGCTCCGCCTCGGCCAGCAGCGCCATCGCCTCCGCTTCCTTCCCGGAGTTGTCCATGGCGGCCGCAAAGGTACTCAGCAAACCGCCCGACCCGGGCCCCCGGGGGACTCAGCAGAGGCCCGGCCGCGGTAGACAGGTCGGGGGAGCTTACAGGGCTGCGTTGACGTCGCACCGGTGCGCGCCGCCCGCTGCCCGGCACCATGTGACGTGCGCCGGCCAACCAGAGATCTGGTAGGGAGGTGCGCGCCCTGCCGGCCACGCCCTCCCCAGCCGCCGCACACCGCCCCGTGACTCACGGCCGCCAATCGGCGACGCGATGTTTCAACGCTTGCGCATACTTCCGCGTAGGACGCTCCATTCTTCCTGGTGCGCTCTACGACATCCCACGTGACTCGCATAAGCCAATCGTAGTCCCCACCGTCAAAGACCCGTCCCGAGGTGGGGCTTTCTGGCTCCTGCTCCACCAGTCAGCAGCATCCCCCGGCTCGGCCCGTACCTCCCCGCGGAACTTGCGCCCCAGTCAGCTGACCATTGACCCTCACATGACAGCGCCCGGCCCCGGCCGGAAGATACGCCCCGCCCTCCTCCGGGTTTGACAGGTGTCCTGCGCACAGCTCAGTCCCCGCCTCCGCTCCTTAACTCGCGCGGTTCTTCACTAGGAGAGGCGTAAGCGGTGAGGAAAGCGCTCTGCCTTTTCTCGCGCCCTCTGCTGACGGACACTGGAACTGGTTTGGGAAGGCCGGTAAAGTCCTTAGACGGGGAAAGAAAACTGAGCGAGGACTCTCTGGATTCATTAATAAAAACAAAAGCAAAAGCTGGAAAGAGCGTGTCAGAAATTCACTCAGAGCCCAGATCTTTGTTTTTAATACCATTCTCCAATAAAAGGAACCAGGACTCCTTGATAAATGGCTGCTTTGAGGCTCGGGCAGGAAATTACACAGGATGAGCCTGGAGAATCTTGTAGTGCCAAAAGGGGCGGGGGGAGAGCGAGCGAGAGTGTGTGTGTGTTTGAATCAAATGGTAGGGTATGTCAAAGAGACACAGGAACCAACTGAAAGAGCTCCCAAAAACCAAAGCTGGAACATTTTGAGCAACACAATAAACTAGTACTGGATTATAATCCAATGTATAAAATATCCCTGAGCCCATGCTGGTATAAGTGAATGACTGAACAAATAAACGGGGCAGATAGACAAATATTTTATGCAGAAGAGTTCTCAATAGTTCATGTAGACTCCTCCCTCCAGAAGGTGTAGCGTAACTCCTCACTCCTCAGTGTGGACCACCCAGGGACTTCCCTCCAGAGTGTGGTATGGGAAAGGGATGGGGAGACTGCTTCCAGTGGAGAAACCTGACAAACAGTCTCAGCCAAGTGACTGAGGTTAACACAAACAGTGGTGAATCACATTGATAGGAAGTGCTCTCAATACTGTGATGTGAATGGCACGTCACTTCTGTGAAGGATGGCTCCTGACACCACCCTCTCCCCATCTAATCACAAACATCAGACAAACCCCAGTTGAGGCATATTCTCCGAAACACTTAACCAGGACTTCTCAACACTGTCAAAGCATTAAAAACAAGGAAAGCTGGAGACACTGTCCCAGCCAAGAGGAGCCTATGGAAACATGCCCACTAAATGTAATTTGGTGTCCTGGGTGGGATCCTGAAACAGAAGATGAATGTTAGGTAAAAACTAAGGAAACGTGAATAAAGTATGGACTTTAGTTAATAATAATGTGTCAATATTGGTTCGGTAATCATAACAGATGTACCATACTTATCTAAGATATTAATAGGGGGAGCCTGGGTGGCTCAGTTGGTTAAGCGGCTTGACTCTTGGTTTCAGCTCAGGTCATGATCTCAGTTGGGCTCTGCACTCAGCCGGGAGTCTTCATGAAGAGTTCTCTCTCTCCCTCTGTCCCTCCCCCCCACTCGAGTTCTCTCTCAAATAAATAAATCTTTAAAAGAAATAATAGGGGGAACTGGGTGTGGAGTATATGGGAATTCTCAGTACCATTTTCACAATCTTTCTGAAAACTCTAAAAACGATTCTACTATGAAATCTTCTTTAAAAAAATTCAAGTTCCAGGGCCCTACCCCCAACGATTCCAATTATGAAAGTCGGTGGCAGGATACAAGAATATACATTTTCTTACAGGACTCCCAGATGATTCAGATGCAGATAACCCAGGGACCACTGGGTGAGAAAAAGCTATTATTTGGGGGTGAGGATGGGGCTTAGCTGAGGGGGAGTAATTCACAAGAAACCTTTGCTCTGACTTCGGGAGACTCTCTCAGACCACCTTCTTGTGGTGGCCACTGTATTCTGACAGCAGATCAGGTGGGGGTGGTGGGGAGAGTCTGGATTACCACAAGCAGTTTCGGTTCCCTGTCCGGCTGAGTGGTGCTATTTATAAAAGCTCCAGTTTGTTTAACGCTGTTAAATTTCAGGGCAATTTGTTATGCAGCACTAGAGAACTAACATACCACCCGCCCATTAAGTCAGGGTCTTTCATTTCCAGCAGCTGAGCTTGTCATTCAGGGCGGGACCCAAACAATAAGAGCAGGAGGACCCATTTAATGGCAACGGCTCTGTTCCTGCAGTGCACCCTGCTAGATGCGTCATTTATGTCTTTTCACTGAACCAGGATGTGGGGGAAGGCAGTTCCCATCCCGTTTCACAGACTGAGAACACGGAGCCTGAAACAGGGAAAGTGACTTGCCCAAGATCACAAAGAAAGAAGAGGAGTCGGGCTGTAAATTCTGGTTCCTAGGAGGCCTGAGCCTGAGCCCTTTCCCTTAACCACAAGGGTCCTAAGTCCTTCAAACTCAACTTACTCCTCTGCTCCCCCTCCTGCCCCGGCTTTAAGATTTATTTAGCCGCAACACGGCCCCCCGGGATGGCTCCTGACACCACGCTTTGCCCTGCTCCTGCCCCCCCCCCATAGTCTCTCAGAACGCAGCACCCACTACGATGGACCCAATCGCACCTCGAGGTGATCAGTCCTCTGAGGTATCCCTGCTCTTCCCCATCTGATTTACTGACATCTACTCAGGTGCCGAGCCCCAGAGCTGCCATGCTGGCCCTGACCTGTCCTTTCCCTTACCACTTCTCCCTGGGAGGGGACCCACCAGCAAGGCTGAGTCTACACCTAAGATGCTTCCCCGCTCCCCGAGTTTCTGTCCCTCTTCAGCCCAGGCCACTGGCTCACCTTCTTACCACCATGCCTACTGTCTGTGTTTGCCATCTCGCCTCCTACAAGCTCCACAGAGGAGCTGGAGGCTCTTGGACCACCCTCCACTAGCCGTCCAGACCTTGGCCCCAGCAGCTTCCTCGGTGTGGCCTTCCCTGGCCGGCCACTGTGTGCCATGCCTCGGACCCTGCCCGGGACTTGGCTCCCCGCTTTATTTTATGTTGCCCTGTGGTGGACACACGGTCTCCCTGCCCGTAGCCCTCTCCTCCTCTTTTCCTTGCACACAGAATTCCAGTTTTGACCCAGTGGCAACACACTTGGGGGATCACACTGGTTTCCCCCCGTTCCTGGAGACACAGCCTGAGTGTCCAGGAAAACTGTGGCCATTTTCCTTCCAGCTCTTGGGGATCAGTGGAGAAAGAGCATGGGCTCTGCCAGTGGGACAGGAGGGGCGTCCTGCTAGGGGCTGCTACAAGCTCTCCTGGCTCTTCGGAAGGGACAAGAGGGAGGGATGGGCTCTCTTCCCCGCAGCCTCCCAAGGTCTGGGTGTTGGCGTAGGAAGAGGTGGTTTTTGTTGCTGCGGCAGCCGACAGGCTGAGGCTCGCCCCTGTGGGTGCACCTGACTTCACAGCTGAGCCACGGGAGCCACCACGCATCCCGACCCCGGCAGCCCATGCTGCCTCCCCTGCTCCCGTGGCCACGAGCATCCCCACAATCAGTATCTCAAATCACCTTTTCACTCATTCATCACTGCGACTCTCTCACTCGGACAATGGAAGTCCCACAAGGGGAGGGGCCTTGTTCCTCCTGTGTCACTGTAGCCCCACTGCACAGACTGGGCGCAGTCGGTCGGGCTTATGCTCTATGGTAGGTGCTTACTAAATGCTGGCTGGGTGAGTGTACGAAGCCCCCGGCTCCTCTCCTCTGGGGCCGGGACTCAGCTTACTCATCTCTGTGGCTCCAGCGAGTAGCAGGGGCTCAAAAGCCTTTGTCAGATCAACAGGCCGGGGAAGCCAGAAGACAGCTGCTCAAGAACCCAATTTAATAAGATTTACAAGTCGACACGTACAAAAAAAACCTAACAATGTACAAGTCATTGCAAGACTAGGGACTGAATCTGGAATGCAGAGAGACTCCCCTGGTGAGGGGGCCCCAACATGTTGGAGATCTGAAAGTATCTTCCCACTGATTCTCTACGTCTTGGCCTTATCTAACAAATGTTAACCAAACCCCAAAACTGAGGCAAAGATTTAAGAGCTACCCAGATCTACCTTGTTCCAACCCCCCCGCCCCACCTAAGCCTCCCTGCTCTAAGAGGAGTGGAACTGAAAGAAAGGAAGAGACTAATTAAAACCGAAGGAGATTGGAGACTCTGGCACCAGCCAACAGCGGTCTAACGACTGGGGGCTTCTCCTGCCTATTTATGGCCAAACGCCCACGTTTCCACGCCAGGCTGGCAAGTGAGGGACCGTAAGGGTGGGGAGGAGGCAGAGGGGTACCCCAAACCCGCTGGAGAGGCCAAGGGGAAAGGTGACGAGGCTGGAGGCCCCCATCCAGACTGGCTTGCCCCGGTTCCCTCCACCCCACCCCAATCACCACTGCAGGGGGCCGATGTCAGCCCCTATCTCTTCCTCCTCCTCTTCTTCCTCCTTCAGCTGGAAGGGCTTCACAGGCCACTTCACCCTGACGATGGGCTCCACATGGTCCTGAAGCCGGTGGCGCTTCATGTGGGCATTTCGACTCTTGATTTTGTCGAACACCCTGAGAAGTCACCAAAGGACACAAGTCAGAGCAGGGGGAAGCGGACTGCCCAAGGGCCGCCAGGGGGGCTGAGAGGAGGTGGTGTGGGCACATCCAGGGACAGGGCTGATACCTCTCACACTCTCTGCAGGGAAAGACGCCTTGGCCCTCCACACTCCCCGGTGGCTCAGGGGTCCGCTTGGGGCCGGCATTTGGGCTGGAGTTGAGAATGGACTCCCTCCTGTAACTCTTCGTCTTTATCTTGAACTCAGGAGTGGGACGGTGGCTGGGCCTCTCCCGAGGGCTGCAAATGACCTGCAGAGGAACAGAAATGACGATGGAAGGGTGCCAACCCTCCACCCTTCTCAGGGAGCCTCTAGGCTGAGCAGGGAAGCCCTTCCCAGTGGGCGCCCTTCCCCCTTCCCTGACTTGGATGGGCAGTGCCATCCCGATCTGCACCGAACTCCAGCCCCACCTTCCCCTGGACCTTCTACCTTTGCTTCTGTCCTGTCTGCCTCATCTGGTTCTCTCTTGACCCTCTTTTCCAGTCCTGGGGCTCGGCCACAGTCAAACTTGATCATTTTTTTCCAGATGTAATAATACTCAACACACTGGGCTACAGTCTTTGTCTGAATCTAGTGAAGGAAAACAGAAGGCGGCTATGGGCAACACCTCACGAGCAGCCTCAAGTGTCGCCATGACGCCCTAAAGTCCCCTCCCCATGGGGCCAGTCACTTTTTGAAAGCCTTCCTGCAATGTCTCTCTGTGTCAGCCTGGCATGCCCCTTCACTGCAAGGGGCAGAGAACCACAAAGTCCTCACAGGTGGCGAGGGGTTCAGAGTGAAGCCACCACAGCCAACACTGGCTAAGCCCTGCACACCCAGGGGGCAGGTTCATCTCAGGGATCCTCCCCTATGGGAAGGTGCACTGGAAGGCATATTACAGGGATGCTCGTGGCGCCATCATGCCTAGGAGCCACGTGTTTGCCAACTGGGACTCATGAAAGCAGAATGCCCTGAGGCAGTGGGGGGCCACACAGCCTTTGCGACAGTGAGGCAGGGCCCTGAAGTCCAGAGGGAAGTGGCCCATGAGAGAAGGAAGAGGTTCTGAGGGCACAATTTGATCCTGGCCATTTAGACCCCACCGTTTGCTCCTCCCTCCACTAAGAAGTGATTCTGTGACAATAAAATCTGTAAAAACAAAACAGGATGGAAAAGTTTATTAATTGCTCCAGAAGGAACATTTCTCAGGTAAATTCAATGGGCCATTTAGTATCTGGAGCTCACTTTTTTTTTTTTTTAAGATTATTTATTTGACAAAGAGAGATACAGTGAGAGAGTGAGCACAAGTGGGAGGAGGAACCGAGGGAGAAGCAGGCTCCCCACTGAGCAAAGAGCCAGATGCAGGATTCCATCCCAGGACCCTGGGATCATGACTTGAGCCGAAGGCAGACGCTTAACCGAATGAGCCACCCAGGCATCCCAGTATCTGGAGCTCACTTCAGAAAATACCTTCTCTGTGTGAATTTTTTCAGCTTTGTGTGTCGTCACAAACTAAGAGTCAAAATAGTACATCCCCTGCCCATCTAGGAAATAGTACTAAGTTTAAAAAAAAAAGCCAAAAAGTTGAACTTCTGCTTCCAAACAAGATGGAGCAATAGGAGGAGCTAGATCTCCCTCCCATCCCAAACAATGAAAAGACATAGACAAAATATAGGAAACAGTGGTTGGTAAAACCCTAGGCATCAGTCAAAAAACATCTTTCTGAGAGGTAGAAAATACACTACCACCTTGGGAGAGTTTCCAGACCACGGCCCAGGGGGAGGGACCAGCAGATTCCTGAGTTGAGAGGAGCCTAGTGCCTGGGGAGACCAAGGTGGCGAGAGTCCACAGGACAGAGGACAGCAGAGCAGACAGCAGCACGGAGAAAAACGCCAGAGATCTGGACAGAGTTCCCTTCACGGATTCAGTGAAGTGGGTGTGAAGAGACAAGCCAATGCTAAGTAAAGATCCATCTGAAAGGATCAGAGGGAAAGGTGTCTGTGGCTCTCAGTGGCCAGGAACGGTGCCTGTCTCCACCAGCTGGGGGTGGAAAACCTCCTAATTCATGGGATACTGGTAGAGTAATGAGAAGGGTTATCACCTCAGAAATGAGAAATAATTAGCTGTAAACAAAAAGCTGTTCTGGTACCGCCTTAAAAAACCTAAAGCAATACCCAAAAGGAACAAGTTGTTTTCAAGTAACTGTGCCAGAACAAAGGTCAAGAATATTTATAAGATGCAAAAATATCCAGCACCCAACAAGCTAAAATTCACAACGCCTGGAATCCAGTGAAAAATCACCAGGCATGCAAAAAAGCAGGAAAATATGACATATAATGAGGAGAAAAATCTATCTGTCAAAATCAAGCCAGAATACTTGCAGATGTTAGAATTAGCAGGGAAGGACATTAAATTTATTATGTCTGCATAATATTTGATCAAAAATTTAAGTAACGACATGGAAGATATGAAAGAGACCCAAAGAAAACTTTTAGGGATAAAAACCATAATGTCCGAGAGGAAAACTGCACGGCATGGGATTAATGGTAGATTTGGCACTGCAGGAGGAAAGATGAGTGAACTTGAAGATACAGCAATAGACACCATCCAAAATGAAACACACAGAGGAAAAACAGATGGGAAAAATGAAAAAGAGCATGAGTGAGCCATGGGGCAAGTGCAGAAAGCCACACACACACAAACACACACAGTCAATGGAGTCCTCGAAGGACAAGGGAGGGACACAAATATCTGAAGAAAGAAGGCCAGATTTCCCCAAATTTAATGAAACCTACAAACCCACAGATCTAAGAAGCTCAACCAACCCCAACCACAAGAAAAAAAATGAAGAAAACCATACTGAAGCACATCATAATAAAACTGCTCAAAACCAGGGATGAAGAGAAATTCATATAAACAGCCACCAAACAAACAAACAAACAAACTACATGTTTTATACAGAGAAACAGAGACAAGAAAATCTGTACATTTCTTGGTGGAAACAACAAAATCAAGAAGAAAATAGAGCAACATCTTTAAATGACTTCAAGAATTAAAAAAAAAAACAACAAAAACCTGTCAAACTAGAATTCCATACCTAGCAAAGACAGCTTTCAAAAATGGAGGCAAAATAAAGACTTTTTTCAATACAAAGAAGCTGGAAAAATCCATGACCAGCAAACCTGAACCACAAAAAGTGGTAAAGGATTCGCATCTATTTCTTTCTGGAAAATGATGCCAGATGAAAACATGGATCCATACAAAGGGATGCAAGCGCAGTAAAAATGGTAACTATGTGGGTAAAAATGTAAGACTTTGTATTTTAAATCTCTCTAAACATAGTTGGCTGTTCAAACAAAAACAGTAACAAGGTATTGAGGGGTTCGTAACATATATAAAAGGCGTGACAATCACAGTATAAAGGCCAGGAGGAGAGATGGAAGCCCGCTACTCTGTGGTTTTCATTCTGCACATGAAGTGCTATCAAATCACTTGAAGGTTCGACAGTGGTAAGTTAATGATGCATAGTATAAACCCTAAAGCAACCACCAAAATAATAAAGAGTTATAGCCAATAAGACAATAAAGGAGATAAAATGGAATCCTAAAACTTACTACATTAATCCAAAAGAAGGTAGAAAAATTGCAAAAAGGAGAAACAAAGAACAGATGAGTCAAACAGAATATACACAGCAAGGTGATGGACTTGAACCTAACCATCTCAATAATCACGTTAAACGTGCATGGTCTAAATACACCCTAATTAAAAGGCTGGAGGGGCACCTGGGTGGCTCAGTTGGTTAAGCGACTGCCTTCGGCTCAGGTCATGATCCTGGGGTCCCAGGATTGAGTCCCGCATCGGGCTCCCTGCTCAGCAGGGAGTCTGCTTCTCCCTCTGACCCTCCCCCCCTCATGCTCTCTCTATCTCATTCTCTTTCTCAAATAAATAAATAAAATCTTTCAAAAAAATTCTAAAAAAAAATTTTAAAAAGGCTGGATATTTTTTTAAAAAGCATATAACAGAATATTACTCAACTATAAAAAGGAATGAAATCTTGCCATTTGTGACAACATGGATGGATCTGGAGAGTATAACGCCAAGAGAAATAAGTCAGAGAAAGACAAATACCGTATGATCTCACTCATGTGTGGAATTTAAGAAACAAATCAAAAAAGAAAAAAGACAGTTAAGACAGATTCTTTTTTTTTAAAGATTTTATTTATTTATTTATTAGAGAGCGAGAGAGAGAGAGAGAAACAGCATGAGAGGAGAGAGGGTCAGAGGGAGAAGCAGGCTCCCCACTGAGCTGGGAGCCTGATGCGGGGCTCGATCCCAGAACTCCGGGATCATGACCTGAGCCGAAGGCAGTCGCTTAACCAACTGAGCCACCCAGGCATCCCAAGACAGATTCTTAAACACAGAGAACAAGCTGGTGGTTCTCAGATGGGAGGTGGGTGGGGGGAGGGGGAAATAGGTGATGGGAATCAAGAGCATGCTTATTTTGATGAGCTCAGAAGTGCTGAATTATTATATTGTGCACCTGAAACTAATATAACACTCCATGTTAATTATACTTCGATTACAACAAATAAAAAAGCACCATCTAATACATGCTACTTAGAAGAACACACTTTAAATATAAAAACACAAATAGGCTAGGGCGCCTGGGTGGCTCAGTTGGTTGAACGACTGCCTTCGGCTCAGGTCATGATCCTGGGGTCCCTGGATCGAGTCCCGCATCGGGTTCCCTGCTGAGTGGGGAGCCTGCTTCTCCCTCTGACCCTCTTCCCTCTCGTGCTCTCTATCTCTCATTCTCTCTCTCTCGAATAAATAAATAAAATCTTAAAAAAAAAAACACAAATAGGTTAAAAGTAAGAGGTTATACCATGCAAACATCCATTATAAGAAAGTTGGGGTAGTTGGCTATATAATAGCAGAAAAATAGATTTCAGAGCAAAGAATAATACCAGGCATAAAGGAAATCATTTCATCATGATAAAAAGGTCAATTAATCAAGAGGACATAATCCTACATGTTCATGCATCTAAGTCAGAGCTTCAAAATACACAAAGCAAAACCTGATAGAACTATAGGGAAGGGGCGCCTGGGTGGCTCAGTTGGTTAAGTGACTGCCTTCGGCTCAGGTCACGATCCTGGCGTCCCTGGATCAAGTCCTGCATCGGGCTCCCTGCTCTGCAGGGAGTCTGCTTCTCCCTCTGACCCTCCCCCCTCTCATGTGCTCTCTCTCTCATTCTCTCTCTCGAATAAATAAATATTTAAAAAAAAGAACTACAGGGAAAAATAGATCCATAGTCACAGCCAAATATTTTAATAACCCATTCCCAATAGTTGCTAGGGCAAAGAAATGGTAAAGGGATGGAAGACCCAAACCACATTATCAACCATCTTGAACTGATATTTCTTTTTTTTTTAAGATTTATTTATTTATTTTTTAGAGAGTGAGAATGAGAGAGAGAGAGAGAGTGCATGAGAGCGGGGAGGGTTAGAGGGAGAAGCAGGCACCTTGCCGAGCAGGGAGCCCGATGCGGGACTCGATCCCGGGACTCCAGGATCATGACCTGAGCCGAAGGCAGTTGCTTAACCAACTGAGCCACCCAGGCGCCCTTGAACTGATATTTCTGGAGCTCCAGCCAACAGCGGCAGGATACACCTTCTTCAAGTGTATTCAGGACATCTACTAAAATGTAGACCATATTCTGGGCCATAATCAAGGATCAAAAAATTTAAAAGGATTTGAGTCATATGAAGTATTTCTCTGACCACAGAGACATTAAATTAAAAGTCAGTAACAGAAGAACTCTGGAAAATCCTAAAATATCTGGAGACTAAATAACACACTTCTAAATAACTCATAGGTCAAAAAAGAAATCAAAAGGGAAGTGAAAACGTATTTTGAACTGAATAAAAATGAAAACCCAACATATGTATCAAAGCAGTACTTTGAGGAAAATTTGTAGCACTAAATACCTATATTAGGGAAGAAGAAAGGTTTCATATCAATGATCTCAGTTTCTACCTTCAGAAGCTAGTAAAAGAATAACAAATTAAACTCAAAGCAAGCAGAAGAAATGAAATAATAAACAGGGGCGCCTGGGTGGCTCAGTCGTTAAGTGTCTGCCTTCGGCTCAGGTCATGATCCCGGGGTCCTGGGATCGAGCCCCGCATCAGGCTCCCTGCTCTGTGGGAAGCCTGCTTCTCTCTCTCCCACTCCCCCTGCTTATGTTCCTGCTCTCCATCTCTCTCTCTGTCAGATAAATAAAATAAAATCTTAAAAAAAAGAAATAATAAACAGCAGAGCAGAAATCAATTAAATAGAAAAAAAATCAACAAGCCAAAGCTGGTGTTCTTGAGAAAATCGGTAAAACTGGTAAATCTATAGCCAGATTGGTCAGGAAAAAAAAGACCAATTACTGATATCAGGAATGAGAGAGGTGACATCCCTATAGTCAATGAATATAAAAAGCACAATATGAGACTATTATGAACAATTTTAGCCAATAGATCAGACAACTTAGAAGAAATGAACAAATTTCTCGAAACAAAAACTACCAAGAAGACATGGTAATGTGAATCGCCCTACATCTATGAAATAACCTGAATCTGCACTTCAAAACCTTCCCACAAAGAAAACTCCAGGCCGAGGTGGCTTCACTACCAAATATTTAAGGAATAAATAAAGCTAATTCTAAACAAATTCTTCCAAAAAATTGAAGAGGAGGGAATACTTCCCAGCTCATTCAATAAGGTCAGCATTACCCTGATATGAAAGCCAGACAAAGATATTACAAGGAAAGAAAGCTACAGACTAATATCCCTCACAAACACAGATGAAAACTTCTAAACCAAGTATTAACAAATAGAATCCAACAATATATATACAAAGGACAAGACTCCGGGACCAAGTGGAGCTCATTCCAGAAATGTGAAGTTGATTTAACAATCAAAAATCAATATAATTGGCCATACTAAAATAAAAAAGAATAACCATATGAGCATCTCAACAGATGCAGAAAAAGCACTATCAATACAACCCCATATCCTTTACTGATACAAACTCTCAGCAAACTGGGAATAAAAGGAATTTCTTCAACCTGATCAGCAACATCTACAAAGACCCCACAGCTAATGTCATACTTAAGAGGGAAAATAGGGGCTGGTTTCCCTCTAAGATCATGAACAAGTCCAGAAGGTCCACTTTCACCATTTCTACGAACAAGGTACTGGAGGTTCTACAGTGCAGTGAGGCAAGAAAAAATCAAAGGCATCCAGATTGGAAAGGAAGAAATGAAACTGTCTTTATTTGCAGATGATATAAATCAACAGTAATAAAGAGCATGCTAACAGCTTAACAGTAGACAAATAGCGGGCGCCTGGGTGGCTCAGTCGTTGAGCGTCTGCCTTCGGCTCAGGTCATGATCTCAGGGTCCTGGGATCGAGCCCCAAATCGGGTTCCCTGCTCGGTGGGAAGCCTGCCTCTCCCTCTCCCACTCCCCCTGCTTGTGTTCCCTCTCTCGCTGTGTCTCTCTCTGTCAAATAAATAAATAAAATCTTAAAAAAAAGTAGACAAATAGATCAACTGAACAAAATGGACAGCCCATAAATAAACACATACATATATGGCCAACTGATATTTGGCTGAGGTACAAAGACCGTTGAGTGGAGAAAACGTAGTTTCTTCAACAAAAGGTATTGGAACGATTAAATATGCATATGCAAAAAAAGAACTCCAACCATACCTTGCATATCAATCCAGAACAGGTCATAAATCTAAACGTAAAACTGAAAACCATAAAACTTCTAGAAGAAAACGTAGGGGAAAGTCTTGATGACTTTGGGTAGGCAAAGGTTTCTTAGAGACTCCACCAGAAGCATGGTCCATAAGAGAAAAATTAATAAACTGAGCTTACTCAAAGTCTAAAATTTTTCCTCAAAAGACACTGTTGAACCAAAACTGAGAAGTCAGAGACCGGGAACAAACATCTGCAAAGCAGGTATCTGGATGAAGAGCTTGTGTTCGGAACAAATAAAGAACTCCCACAGTTTAATAAAAATACAAACACCCCCCCAAAAAACATAGGCAAAGGATTGGGAGCAGACACCTTACCACATGAGGCACAGTGAAAGCAAACAAGCAGGTGAAAAGATGCTCAGCATCGTTAGTCTTCCAGGAAGCGCAGGGAGAGAACGCTCTGTGCTCATTAGAATGGCAAAAAGAAGCCTGACGGTGGGGTGTGCTGGGGAGGGCGTGCAGCACCAGGAACTCTTGTGAGCTGCCCATGGGCACGTGAAATGCTACGACCGCTTTGGATAAACATGTGGTGGTTTCTTCAAAGTGAAACATGACACTCGCCATATGATGTACTCATTCCCCTGGCTAGGTATTTACCCCGCAGAAAAACAGTGCTGGTCCTTGAGAGCCCTGTACGTGAATGAGTGTTCACGGCAGCTGTACCTATAATTGCTGATATCTGGAAACCACCCAGGTGGCAACAGGTGAAAGATTAAATAGATGGTGGTACACCCACACAATAAAACATTCCCCGGCAATGAAAAGGGGTGAAGGACTGCTACTCAACAACACGGATGATCTCACTGATGCTAGGTGTAAGCAGAGCGCACATCGTATGACGATTCCATTCATAGAAAACTCTGGAAAACGCAAACTAATTTACAGTGACAGAAAGGAGGCAAGGAGTGGACTAGGGACAGGGGTGGCAGGAAAGAGGACCGAGGGGCAGGGGGAAACGTGTGCGGGTGACTGATGTGTTTGTGATCTTGACCTGCGTGAATGGTCTTGTAGGTGTATAAATACACGAAAACATCAAATGTTACACTTTGATTATGTGCAGTTTTGTGTACATCAGATTAACAAAGGAACAAAAAACCCAGCAGGATATCCAGTGAGGTAGGATCTCAGCCTTTCATAAGTATGCGCACGTATGCGTGTGAGATGTGCACGGGCAGTGCAAAGCTGAGGCACACAAGCAAACAGGCCAAGGTTAGCCACCAGAAGGAGGGCTGTGGGGAGGGGCATGGAGGCCTTTACCGGAGCATTTCTCAAGTTCAGAATGGGAGCGTTCATTTATTTGAGCACTGAGCATTGATGCATTTCTGGACTGTTTGGAAGTGTTCACAACAATGGCGTTTTAAAATTATGAACCGTTTCTGAGACTAGCAGAGCGTCACCCCCAACAGGCCCTTCTGCTCTAGTTCGGCTCAGCTGCGTGAGGCGAGGCCCTGCCTACACCAGCGCACCCACATTCACTTTACCGTCTTATGTATCATGTAAAAGTCCTTCTTGTGGGCACAGAATGCCTTCTTAAAAAGCCTCTTCTCCATGGGGGTCCAGATGTCTGAACCTATTAGAGAAAGAGCCAAGCACGGGGGGGGGGGGTGGGGGGGGGCAGGACAGGGCTGATGTGCAGACCACCCTCCTTTTTAAAGCTGCCATCACTAAGCATAGTTATGTGTCAAACATTCTGCTAAGCCCCTTATTTCCTTTATCTCCCACAATCCTGACAAAAACCTTAGCAGGTAGGGCCCGTTAGGATCTGCACTTTATGGAGGCAGCCACGGCTGGCACTAGTTGAGGGACTTGCTGAGGCTGGGGGAGGGCCCCAGACTGCCTGACTCCAGGGCTGGCGCGCCCCACTGCTGAAGCTCAGCCTGCCTCCGCCTCCCCCTGGCCAGGGGCATCCCCTTCCAGGTTGGGCACAGCCCACGAGGGAACCACCGGAAAGGGAATGGTAGGACGCAACTAGAAGAAAACATGCCACAGAGTCCCCCACCCCACCCCAGCCCGGAAGAGGAGAGGCCTTTCTGGAAAGACAGGCGAAGACCCCAAGAGAACTCCCAAAAGGCACAGGCAAAGCTTGCTGTTGGGACTGACTGTTCACAAGGTCTTGCCTGGCAAAAACCACACCCACAGCCTCGCCCAGTCACCTGTATAGCGGTAGTCGGCCAGTGGGTGAGTCTGCGGCTTCTGGGGTCCTCGGAGTAAGAGGGTCTCCAGGGCAATCTGGAACGAGAGGAGTTGCAGGCTACTTTACAAAGGGATGCAATGAAGAGTCTCCCTCCATTCCTTCCTTCCTTCCAAAGACACTTCCAGCTCTCCCTAAGGCCTTCCCTAGCCCTACTACCCGGAGTGTGGTTGGTCCACGGACCAGCCACCACCTGTAAACCACTTGTGGCCCCGCAGACTACACCACTAAGCAGACTGCTGAGTGCAGCTGACGTAGATTTCTCACGGCAACGTGCTCCTGATGCAGGAGACAGTGTGTGGATTTACTCTGGTGCGCGCTCCTTACCATCAAGGACCAACATTTGGAATAGCACTGCCCTTGCCCACTGCCCTCCTTTATTTCCTTCATAGCACTAACGATTATCCAGCCATCTTCTAAAATGTACTTCCTGTTTTGACTCTTCTAAAATGTAAGCCACAAAGAGAGGGATTTTGTCCTGCTCCCCTGAGGAACCACAGTCAGGTCCTGCCAGGGGATCTGTGGGACCCAGCACAAAATGAAAACGGCCCTTGTTCAAAACTTATTAAGAATTTCAAGATGGCAGCAGCAGAGCATGAAACCAAGACTGGGGCCCCCAAGCCGGCCCTGGCCCCAGTGCCACCACATTACCAAGCATTCAGTCGAACCCCATAAAGATGTGTTGATCACTCTGCTGAGCACCTACTACGTGCTGGCCGCTGCCTCTCGGCTCAAGAAAAAGCATGACCGTGGCACTGATTCTTGGGGACCGACCTCAGGTGATGGGACTTTTCCTCTCTCACTACTCAAGACTGTGAAGAGGGTCCTTGGAGGAGGCAGAGGCTGTTCTACTGCATCAGAGGTTTTCATACACGGGTTTTAATTTATTTTTTATTTTAAAAGATTTTTATTTATTTATTTGAGAGAGACAATGAGAGAGAGAGAGCACACGAGAAGGGGGAGGGTCAGAGGGAGAAGCAGACTCCCCGCTGAGCAGGAAGCCCGATGTGGGACTCGATCCCGGGACTCCAGGATCATGACCTGAGCCGAAGGCAGTCGCTTAACCAACTGAGCCACCCAGGCGCCCCATACACGGGTTTTTAATTGAAGAGAGAAAGCTCAATAAGTAAACCCGATTAGCACAGGCCCCGAAATGATGGGTCTCCTGGGCGCCAGCTGCCCAGTGCCCCGGAGATGTCTCCGAGGACCCCAGGCGTTGTTGTCGCACCACACAGACAGCTGACTCACCGAGCCCACAGCTGCAGCTCACAAGGACCACACCAATCCCAAAGTCACCGGGACGAAGGAGAGTGGCCTGCCTTCACTTTTCGTGAGCTGCCAACCCCCAAGCAGACCGCACACGGCATGCACCTGCTGGTCCCGGCCCCAGGAGAGAAGGGGGCTTCTCCAGACTCCCCCTTGCCCTACCCCTGCCTCCACTTCACCTGAACGTTGCCCTGGGCTTCGTGCAGGCAGTGCAGAGCGAGCTCCAGGTTGGTGCCCCCTCCCGGCATCACGCTGGAGCAGGCCACGTTGCAGAGCTCAGTCACTGTTTCCGGAGAGCGGTCCCAGCACAGGGGGTGAGAGGAGACACAAGGAGTCAGCGAGCTCCAGGGAGGAGACTTCCCCGACAGCACAGAGAGGGGGCTCCTTGTCACCGGCCTCCTCACGTCTCAGCTGAAAGCGGGATGAGGGAAGGAAGGGAGAGACAAGGAGGAAGGGCACAAACCCTGCTCCTGGCACTTGCTCTGAACAGCCTGGCTGGGCTTGCGTGAGAAGGCAGCTGGGGGCAGGGGAGTGCGGCTCAGGAAAAGCCACACAGCACCAAGGGCGAGCCTTCCCCACCCCCTCACCCCGGGGTATTGCTTCTCAGCCGAGGGGAGAACTGGCAGAAGTCCTCAGACATGGCGGGGGGTGGGGGGTGGTGGTGGCGGCAGGGCCCTCGGGAATTTGGGCCCCAAATCTCAGCAACCTCTGTCCTGCGTTTCTGGGTTGGTCGTCACATCTCCCCATGGCTTCCAAACCAGAGAAGCTACGTGCTCATCAACTCCAGCCAGCGATCTCTCCTGGAGCTCTGGGATCTCAGCCTGAAACCGGCTTCCTATGTTGATGTGTCTGAAATGAGGCCACACACACAGACGTGCAAGACATACACATGTGACCAAGACGGGAAATGAAACAGAGATGGGCGGTGTGCCCCGGTCTCCGGCTGCAGCCCTGCCATCTGCCAGACGTGTTCAGCGTCCATCATCCCTGACAGAAATGTGCAGGCATTCCAGAAACCTCTCAAGGGGGGACTTCCTTCCTTCCTCTGGTTTTCCTTATTGCTGTACCTCCGGCCTCAGGAGTCACTTTGGGTCTAGGGCAGGGGAGGTATACGCTTACAGCCGGCATGCTTCTACACCCACGTCCATACTGATCGAGCCACATTCCACGGACACTCGAAAGTCTTGCGTGGTGGTACCACCACCAATTCTACGTAGGACCCCAGGGTCCTGGGCATTCTGTTCCTCTGGCCCCAGCTACGGTATGTCTGAACAGAAAGAATACTGAGGGAGCTTCCCACATACACGCACAGAAGTGCACCACTTCTCTCTTAGGGAGGCTCCGTAGCTAGACCGGATCCCCTATGATGAAGGAGCCCCTGGGAAAAACGGACACTGGCCCGCAGGGAGGTAAGAGCACCCCCACTTTGGAAGGACCCACCCTCAGGTGCTAAGTCTGTTCCAACTCACGGTTCAATGCTGATCTTGGTGTCATCCTTTACCATGCAAATGCCAAAAGAGCCATCCACTTGATCTAGAAAACATACAACAACAACAAAAAGTCTCAAGAAGACTGACCGTAAGTGATCTGGGGGACCCCTTCTGCCTGCCTTTGCAGAGCAGCTAAAAGCAGGCTCTTTAAAACTGCACGGTAGGGAGATTACTCAAAAAATTAAAAGTAGAACTACCATAAGATCCAGCAACCCCACTTCTGGGTATTTTTTTTTAAGATTTTACTTATTTTTTTGACACACAGAGAGAGCCAGAGAGCAAAAGCAGGGGGAATGGTGTAGGGAGAGGGAGAAGCAGGCTCCCCGCTGAGCAGGGAGCCCCAAGTGGGGCTCGATCCCAGGGCCCTGGGGTCAGGACCTGAGCCAAAGGCAGACGTTTAACCAACTGAGCCACCCAGGTGCCCCCCCACTTCTGGGCATTTATCCAAAAGAACTGAAATCAATCTCTCAGGGATATCCACACTTCCATGTTTACTCAGCATTATTCACAACAGCCAAGTGGAAACAACCTAATGTCCATCGACAGAAGAGTGGGTAAGGAAAATGTGGTATTTACATACAACGGAATACTAGCTAACCTTTTTTTTTTTTAAAAGGAACCTTCAATATGCAACAACATGAATAAACCTTGAGAACATCATGCCAAGTGGAACAAGCCAGTCACAGAGAAGGAAATACTACATGACTCCACTTATGTAAGTATCTAGACTAGTCCAATTCAGGGGCGCGTGTGTGGCTCAGTCGGTTGTGTCTGGCTCTTGGTTTTGGCTTGGGTCATGACCTAGGGGTCCTGGGATCAAGCCCCACAACAGGCTCTGCACTCGGCATGGGGCCTGCTGGAGATTCTCTCCCTCTCCTTCTCTCTCTGCCCCTTCCCCCCACCTGCATGCATGCTCACTCTCTCGCTCTCAAAACAAATAAAAATCTTAAGAAAATAGTCCAATTCATATAATCAAAAGTGGAATGGTAGTTGCCAGGGGCTGGGGGTAGTGGAACATGCGTATTTACTAATCAATGAGCATAAAGCGTCAGTTAAGCCAGATGAATAAGCTCTACGGCTCCACTGTACAATGTGGTACCTATAATCAACAATGATGTACTGCATACTTACTCATTTAAGGGGGACTCATGTTAACTTATGATAAAACACAATTTTTTAAAAAAAGATTTATTTATTTGAGAGAGAGAGGCAGGGGAGAGGGGCAGAAGAAGATGGAGAGAGAGTAACCTAAGCAGACTTGGTGCTGAGCATGGAGCCTGATGTGGGGCCCGATCTCACAACCCTGAAATCATGACCTGAGCTGAAACCAAGAGGTGGTCACTCAACTGACCGTGCCACCCAGGTGCCCTGATAACACACAATTAAAAAGAAAAAAAGATTGCACGGAGGGATTGGACTTCTAAAAAGCAGAGTAAGGAACTAAGCAAGACAACAAATTAACTGATAAAAATTATTTTTAAAAAAGAGTAAGTTAAAGTCTCTGGAAGTTGTCCTAAAGGCATACAGCATTTTAGAGAATACTATTTAAGGGACACCTGGGTGGCTCAGTTGTTAAGTGTCTGCCTTCGGCTCGGGTCATGATCCCAGGGTCCTGGGATTGAGCCCCGCATCGGGCTCCCTGCTCAGCGGTAAGCCTGCTTCTCCCTCTCCCACTTCCCCCGCTTGTGTTCCCTCTCTCGCTATATCTCTGTCAAATAAATAAATAAATAATCTTAAAAAAAAAGAAAATACTCATTTAAGAAAATGACCAAATATTGGTAAGAACAGTGAGAGTCTGTGGCATCTGCCTGTCACCCACCCAACCCACAGCTCCATGTAACAGAAGCTCTACCTGGAGTGCCCTACTCTAGGCAGGTGCATCCAAGGAGATGGACCCCCTCTCCCTGCAGTATCCATGCTTAAAGAATTAAAGGGAGATAAGATGATTTCTCATCAAAGACAATACCATTAAGAGAAGATTTTAAAAAAGAATCAAATGGAAATTCTGGGGTTAAAAGAAAGTACAAGAACCAGGGCGCCTGGGTGGCTCAGTCAGTTAAGAGTCCGACTCTTGATTTCGGCTCAGGTCATGATCTCAAGGTCATGAGATTGAGCCCCGCATGGGGCTCTGTGCTCAGTGGGGAGCCTGCTTGAGATTGTCTGTCTCCCTCTGACTCCCCCCCACCAAAAGAAATAAATCTTCAAAAAAAAAATCACAATAGGGGCCCCTGGGTGGCTCAGTCGTTAAGTGTCTGCATTCAGCTCAGGTCATGATCCCAGGGTCCTGGGATCGAGCCCTGCATCGGGCTCCCTGCTCCGCGGGAAGCCTGCTTCTCCCTCTCCCACTCCCCCTGCTTGTGTTCCCTCTCTCGCTGTGTCTCTGTCAAAAAAAAAAAAAAATATATATATATATATATATATATCACAATAACCAAGATGAGGCTTAACAGCAGATTTCAGTTGGCAGGAGAAATGATCAGCAAATCTGAAGATAGATCAATGGAGATTATGTAATCTAAAGAGAAAAAAGAATGGAGAAAAATGTTGTGAGCCTCAGGGAAATGAGAGACATCATTAAGTGCAGCAAAATACCTGTAATGAGAGTACCAGAAAGAGAGAAGAAAGGGACGAAAAAACACGTAAAGTATCATGGCATTGATACAAGAGCTGAAATCCTCCCAAATTTGGTAAAACAAACAAACGATATAATCCAGGAAACTCTATAAACTCCAAACAGAACAAACACAAAGAGCTCTACATCTAGACACATCCATCATAGGCAAAATGTTGAAAGGCAAAGACGAAGATCTTGAAAGTAAAAAGAGAAAAACAACTTGTTTCATGCAAGAGCGCCCCAGTAAGATTAACAGCCGACTTCTTGTCAGAAACAATGGAGGTCACAAAGCAGAAGGATAACATATTCAAGTTGTTGAAAGTAAAAAACTGTCAACCAGGAATCATATCCAGCAAATTACTTTTCAAAAATAACTGTGAAATAAAGTCATTCTCAGATAAATAAAAATTGAGATTTGTTGCTATTAGATCTGTCTTATAAGAAATAGTAAAGGTGGAAGGGCACCCGGGTGGCTCAGTTGGCTGAGTGTCTGATTCTTGGTTTCAGCTCAGGTCATGACCTCAGGGTTGTGGGATCGAGCCCTGCGTCGGGCTCCATATTCAGTAGGGGGTCTGCTTGAGATTCTCTCTCCCTCTCCCTTTGCCCTTCCCCCCACTCTCTCTCTCTAAAATAAATAAATCTTTTTAAAAAAGAAAATGTAAAAGTGGAATATCATTCAGTCATAAAAAGGAATGGAATACTGACACATACTGCAACATAGGTGAAACCTAAAAACATCATGCTAGGAGACGGTCACAAAAGACCACACATTGCAGGAATACATGTATATGGAATGTCCAGATTAGCCAAATCTATAGAGACAGAGAGTAAACTAGAGGTTACCTACGGCTGGCGTTGGGGGACAGGGACAGGAGTGGCTGCAAATGAGTGTGGGGCTTCTTTTGGGGGTGATGACAATGTCTGAAACTTGATGGTAACAATGGTTGCCCAGTTCTGTGAATGTGATAAAACCCACTGTATTACATGCTTTAAAGGGTAAGTTTTATGTAAATTATATCTCCATACTGATAAGAGACAACTAAGAAAGTTCTTTAGACTGAAAGCAAATGACACGAGATAGTAATGTGAATCAAAACAAAGAAACAAAGCGTGCTGGTAAAGTTAACTATATGGGTAATTATAAAATTATGATCACGTATTTCTTTTCTTATTGACTTAAAAAACAATTGTATAAAACAGTATGTATTGTGGGCCTATAAAATATAGAAATATACTATATGTGGCAAAAAGAGCACAAAGGAGTTGCATTAGAGTAAAGAAATAATAGCCCAGACAGTAACTCGAATCCACAGGAATAAATGAAGTTATCAGTAATGGTTAATGAGAAGGGTACTATAACAAACTCTATAAATAATGCCTGTTTTCCTTTATTCTCTTTTTTTATATAACATAAAATTATATAAAGTAATAATTATGACAGTATACTTCTGGGTTTCTATTATCTACATATATATATATATACATATAACACTGTTATATGCATATATGTAACAATAATAGCAAAAGGGTTAGAAGAAACAGAATTAGATAGCAATGTTCCTACACTTTATTAAGTTAATACACAACTGAACACACTCTGATAAATTAAGATGTATGTTTTAAGTCCTAGAGCAACTCCTAAGAAATGACTAAGGGAAAGTGAAAAATTAATTAAAGGAAGGGATGTGTTGTACAAGAAAATACTCAATACAAAAGAAAGCAGACAAGGAAGAACAGAAGGAGAAAATGCCATGAGACATATAGAAAATAAAAAGCAAAATGGCAGATATAAATGCAACTACGTCACTGGAACATTAAAAGAGAATGCTTAAACAGACCAACCAAAAGGCAGTTTGTCAGACTGGATAAAAAAATATGACCCAATTGACGCTGCCTGTAGGAGACCTGCTTTATTTTCAAAGACACAAACAGGGTGAAGGTAAAAGAACAGGAAAAACCATACCAAGCAAACAACAACCGTAAAAGACATGAAATGGCTATACTAATGTCAGGCAAATTCGACTCTATTGTTTTTTAAAGATTTATTTATTTTAGAGAGAGAGAAAGAAAGAGAGTGGGAGGAGGGGGAGAGGGAGAGAGAGAATCTCCAGCAGACATCTGAGTGTGGAGCCCAACGCCGGGAGATCTCATGACCCTGAGATCATGACCTGAGACGAAAACAAGAGTTGGATGATTAACCGACTGAGCCACACAGGTGCCCCTGCAAATTAGGCTTTAAAACAAAAAATATTACTCAAGAAAATAACAAAATTATTGTAATAATGATAAATGATATCATACCATAATGGTAAAAGGTCAAGCCATCAAGAAAATATGGCAATTATATAAACATAATGCACCTAAAACGGAGTCCCTAAATACACAATGCAACAAATGACAGAAGGATAAAATGAACAATTAAAAAATAATAGTTGGAGGGGCGCTCGGGTGGCACAGTCCATTGAGCAAATGACTCTTGGTTTCGGCTCGGGTGGTGATCTTGGGGCTATGGGGTCGAGCCCTGAGTCGGCCTCCATGCTCGATGTGGAGTGTGCTTGGGACTCTCTCTCCCTCTCCTTCTGCCCACCCCCCTAAGCATGCATGTGCACACTCTCTCTCTCAAATAAATAAATTAAAAAAAAAAACTTGGAAATTTAAATACTTTCAATAATGCATAGGACGACTAGGCAGAAGATCAACAGGAAGTAGAATACTTGAACTAACTACACATAGCGGATATCTACAGTATATTCCATCCACCATCAGGAGAATATTCTTCTCAATTACACATGGAACGTTCTCCAGGACAGAACATATTCTAGTCCATACAAATGCTTCAAAAAATGTAAAAGCACTGAACTAATACAAAGTATGTACTCTGACCACAATAGAATTAAATTAAAAATAAATTTAAAAAAGGCAATTTGGAAAATTCACAAATAGGTGGAAATTAAATGACACACTCCTTAATAATCACTGTATCAAAAAAGAAATCAGAGGCACCTGGCTGGGTCAGTTGGTTAAGTGTCTGCCTTCAGCTCAGGTCATAATCTCAGTGTTGTGGGATCGAACCCCGAATCGGGCTCCCTGCTCAGCGATGAGACTGCTTCTCCCTCTCCCTCTGCCCCTCCCCACCCCCACTCATGCTCGCTCACTCTCTCTCAAATAAAATCTTTAAAAAAAAAGAAAGAACAAAGAAATCAGAACATACTTTGAGATAAATGAAAATAATATAACATATTAAAACTTGTAAAATGCAGCTAAAGCAGTGCTCTGAGAGAAATTTATAGCTGTAAATGTCTGTATTAAAAAAGAAAAAAGGGTGCCTGGGTGGCTCAGTCATTAAGCGTCTGCCTTCGGCTCAGGTCATGATCCCAGGGTCCTGGGATTGAGCCCTGCGTCGGGCTCCCTGCTCAGTGGGAAGCCTGCTTCTCCCTCTCCCACTCCCCCTGCTTGTGTTCCCTTTCTTGCTGTGTCTCTGTCAAATAAATACAATCTTAAAATAAAGGCGGGGGGGAGAAAAACCTCAAATCATTTATGGTCAATTGGCTTTCCACAGGGCGCCAGGCCAATTCAAAAGGAAAGGAACAGTATTTTCAATAAACGGTATTGGAACAATAGATATCCACATGCAAAAGAATGAATTTGGACTCCCACCCTACACAATATATACAAGTTGAAATGGATCAGACATGAATTTAAGACTTAAAATGACACAACTCTTAACAAGAAAACACAGAAGAACATCTTCATGACTTTCGCTCAGGCAAAACCTTTGATACAACACTGAAAGCACCAGTGACAGAATATGAATTGGACTTCATCGAAATTAAAAACTTTAGTCCTGGGGCACCTGGGTGGCTGAGATGGTTAAGCGTCTGCCTTCAGCTCAGGTCATGATCCCAGCATCCTGGGATCAAGTCCCGCATCGGGCTCCCTGCTAGGCGGGGAGCCTGCTTCTCCCTCTGCCTCTGCCCCTCTCTCTCTTTCTGACTCTCATGAATAAATAAATAAAACATTAAAAAAAAAACTTTAGTCCTGCAAACAAGACCACAAATAAAATGAAAAGACCATGCCCAAAATGGGAGAGAATTTGCAAACCGTGTATCCGATAAAGGGCTTAATTCCAGAATATATAAGAAACTTTAACAACAGAGTAATAAAAAGATAACAACTCAATTAAAAAAATGGGAGAAGGATCTGAAAAGATTACAAATGGACAGTAACTACACGGAAAGATGCTCAGTCTCAATAGCCATCAGGGAAATGCAGATTGAAACCACTGTACACATGCTAGGATGGTTATATAAGAAGAAAGATCACAAGTGTTGACGGGGATGTGGAGAAGCTGAAACTTTCATACGACACTGGTGGGAATTTAAAATGGGTCCGTCATTTTGGAAATGGTCCAGTAGCTCCTTAAGTGGTTAAACCCAGAGCTACCCTATGATCCAGCAATTGCAGTCCTGGGAATATACGCGAGAGAAATGGAAAACATATGTCCAACAAAAACCCGTACATGGATGTTCATGAGCAGCATTATTCACAGTAGCCAAAAGACAGAAATGACCCAAATGCTCACCAACTGATGAATGGACAGATAAAATGTGCTACGTCCAGACCATGGGATATTATTGGGCCATAAAGAGGCATGAAGCCGTGGCATGTACCATCACGTAGATGAACATGGATGCTAAGTGAATAAACTAAACACAAAACGTCACCCACTGTAGGATTCCAATTATACAAAATGTCTAGAACGGGCAGATCCATAGCAAAAGCAGATCAGCGGTTGCTCAGGGCTGGGGAGATGGGGGCAATGGGGTGCGTGTGACTGCATGGGTACGGTGCTTCCTCCGGGGGTGACAAAAATGGCTTAAAATTAGATGGTGGGATGGGCGCACAACCCTGTGAGTATACTAAAGAAATACCATGTACTTCAAATGGGTGATTCATATGGTTTATGAATTCTATTCCGGCCAAACTGTTAAAAATTACTCAAAGGGCAGGCAGAAGGGTGGACAGGCTGAACAGTCTCTGTATTTTCTTTCTGGCTGTAAAACTCCAAGCACCTGGAAGGCTGCCGGTCCCAGAGGGTGCTGGGATACCTCCGAACAGCGGCGGGACTCACACACCAGGCACAGCCACGGGCCGGAGAGAATGTCTGGCCCCCAGCAGGCCCGCCACACGCGGAGGAGAGACCATAATTATGCCCAGCGTCACTCACCAAGCATGTTGCTGATGAGTTTGTCGGGACCGGCATGAGCAGAGGTGGAACAGAGGGTGTTGAAGTACAGCCCTGAGCCCTCCCGGATGGGGCTGAGCATAGGGGGCGGCGTATAAGGAGAGCCCTGGAACAGTCCCTTGAGGAGGCAGTCCACGAGGAACACTGGAGACCGCAGACAGCTCTGGTGGCATCCTCCCAGGCCCGGCTCCCCAAATGAGGAGGGTGGAGGAGGGGCGAACGATGCCTCGGGCTGGGGGCGCTTCTTCCGCTTCCTATGCCGGCTGCTCTCCTTGCTGTCTCTCTCTTCCCCGTCTTTCTCTTGTCCCTGGGAAAGAAAAGAGTTCAGGACTCAGGGGATCGCCTGAGGCCACCCACCACACGGCTCGGCCTTCAGGATGGCAGGAGAGTGGGAAAAGAGAACGGACTCCCGACACAGAGGGACACCACGCCTGGGACCCTCAGAAGAGGGAGCCTAGCAGGGCCCCCCGCGCCTGAGCCTGACCCCAGAGCCTAACTAAGCCGCTGGAGCCCTCCCCTGCACCCGTGCCCTCAAGGACAGGCCTTGATGCAGGGCAATCTGGGAACAGGTGAGGCCAGTTTCAGCTGTTAAACCGCCTGGCCCTGAGAGAGTGGGGGCTGGACACGGCCACAGCATGACCAGAGGAAATACAGCAGCAGGTCCCGTGAGACGAGCAAAGGCATCCGAGCACCTCATCCCCGCGTCGAGCACGGGCTCGTCCAGCGAGACCCCCCAGTATGGGCTGAAGAGACCGGTCACTTGAACTTGGAAGGCTCTCTCACCTCCACACAATCTCCCCTCCTCCCCGCCAGTCCCACTCCTCCTCTCCTCCAGGTCTCAGCTCCCACACCCCTCCTCCAGGAAGACCCCCCTGACCTCCTCAGGCGGTGTCCCCGGTGCGCCCTCAGGGTGCCCTCAGCTCCCTTCGCTCCCCCTCACGGCCCAGCCCACACTGGGGCACCACTGTCTGGGGACAGGTCTACTGACTCTGCTGGACCGGCAGGCCCAGGGGGCGCGGTCACCAGAGTCCGCAGCACTGCCACCACAGGCAGGCACCCAGGAAGCTCCGAGGATGGTAACGACTGAATGAACACGCTCTCCCAGACTCAGATATTTTTCTGACGTTTGGTCTGGACTACCCCCCCCCCCAGCTTCTGCCTTACGCAGGTGGGGGAAGCAGCAGGAAGGAAGCAGCCTGACCCGCACCCACCTTGGCGGTGCTCCCAGAGGGTTGGTTCCCTGGAACTACAGGCACAGGGATCCCCAAAGAGGCTGCAGCCGTGTTGTCCAAGGACTTCTTAGCTCCTGGGGGACTCTGCCCGTCCCCCTCTGGCCTCAGCACCTGTCTCAATGGCTTGCAAAACTCTGTGCCAAACACCTAAATGCAGAGAATTGATGGCTTTTTAAGATTAACGGGTGGGCAAGAGGGGAAGAGCTGCTCCAGCCTGCAGTGCCGGCCGCCCGCCCCCACCCCGGGGAGCCGCACAGCCCTGACTACTGGCCCCCTGCCCAGGCTTCCCCCAGGGGGACATCTCCATCCTGAGATAAATGACATCCGGTCACCTAATCCCTGAAAGCCTGCCAGAAACCCTGAAAGCACAGAGCCGACTGCGCGCGCCCCTTCACCTGCTGCTCCTGCTTCCCTCGAGGTGACGGCCACTGGTCACTGTGGAAACACATGTGGCTGCTCAGCCCTTTCTCTGTATAAAACATCTGGCTGCAATTCTTGCAGACATAAGTGCTCCTTGGCTCTGCCCAGTCTGCAGGGCCCCCATTTTGCTGGTTACTGTGGGGAAACATGGCAGGAGGGAAGAACGGGAGAATGGGACTTTGTCCCCATCACTAATTTCTTTGTTTTTGTTTGTTTTTAAGTCTGATCCATTGATAACTCTTGATGAACCCTAAGAAGTGGAGAGAGGATACCCCAATTCTTCACGGCCGGGTGCATACCTCTTCAGGACTGAGGCATCCAGAACTCGGTGACCCAGACCCAGCACATAAAAGCCACCAGAGGAATCGGAGGGGCTGAGCACCCCCAGGCCGGGCGGGGTATGGCTTCTGAACTTACCATCCACCTGCCACGTTCTCCTCCTTCAGCGGATGGGGGAGCCGGTATATATTTCCACCCTGAGGATGAAAATACATCTGAGCCAACATATTGGAAAGGAGGCATGCAAGAGCTACAACTGTAAGACTCTGAGAAGAAAGCATAGATGTACAATTCTTTGTGACCCTGGAGGAGGCACTGGGGCCTTGGATGACACTGAAACGAAAAGACAGAACTGACAAATTTGACTTCATTAAAACTCAGAACTGCCGTGCTTTAAAGGATACCATCAAGAAAGTGAGAAGATGACCCCCGGAATGGGAGAAAATCACTGCAAGTCACATACCTGACAAGGGAGTTGTATTCATAATACATAAAGAACTCCTATACAGCTCATTGATGAAAAGTCCAATCAGCCAATTTAAAAACGGGCAAAGGATCTGAAAGACACTTAACTCAAGGGGATTTACAAATGGCCATTAAGCACATGAAAAGATGCTCAGCACCAGCCACCTGGGCAATGCAAATACAAAGCACAGCGATGTGATACCACATCACACCCATGAAGGTGGCTGGGATAACAAGCCTGGAGAGCAAGCAGTGTTGGTGAGGATTTGGAGAAGCTGGAGCCCTCCCGTACTGTGGGTGGGAACATTAAATGGTGTGGCTGCTTTGGAAAAGTCTCACAGTCCCTCAAATGGTTAAACATAGAGTTGCCATATGACCCAGGAATGCCCCGCTCCAGTATTTCCCAAGAGAAATGGAAACCTATGTCTGCATAGAACCTTGTACACGAACATTCACAGCAGTACTATTCACACTGGCTGAAAAGTGGGAACAACCCAAATGCCTGTCAACTGATGAACAGATTAACAAAACGTGACACTACCATACAGTAGAACATTACTCAGCCATAAAAAGGAGCAAAGCACTGACAGGTGCCACAATGTGGACGAACCTTGAAAACACCACACTAAGTGTAAGAAGCCAGACTACAGAAGGCCACGTGGTGTATGATTTCAATTATATGGAATGTCCAGAAGGGGCAAATCCATCGACACAGAAGGTAGACTCATGGTTGCCAGGGGCCAGGAGGGCTGGAGAGACTGGGGCCGACAACTCAGGGTGTGGGACTTCTTTTTTGGGGTGATGAAAATGTTCTGGCAAAGAGTGGTAATAGATGCACAACTTTGTGAATATACTGAACGCCACTGGAGAATACTCTTTAAAATGGTGAATTAAACGGCATGTGCTGTTAAAAAAAAAAAAAAAAAAGAGGCAACTGTGGGGTGAGGGGAAGGGTGCTGGACCGCGGGCCGTGGTAAGGAAGAACGGCCCACCTCTCTGCGCCCAGACCCGGTGCCAACTGCAAGGACTGAGCTACTACCACTCGGCAGGTGCCAGCCAGTGTTCGGACTGTGACTCCCACCAGGTGAGAGACAGCATCGCATGCAGAAATATTTCCGAGGTGGGATCTCTACCTTTATATCCTCTGAAAAATTTAAGGAGGCCAATCCAAAAGGAAGTGAAAGGCAAAAAGCAAGCAAGCTGGAAAAGCTTAGAGGAGAAAACGTCTCTGACAACTCTAAAGACCTCATTCTCAGCTCTTTCGGGGGGTGGGGGTGACAGGAGGAACCACAATCTCTATGAACCTTCCTTCCCGCCTCTCTAAACCCGTCCCGGAGGAGCCCCTGAGATGAAACACAATGCCTGACCAACCAATAAAGGCAGGAGCAAGTCACGAATGAGACTCCGGCCCGGAGCACCGGCAGGTGTCAGGTCTCGTGAGGGAGAGCCCAGGTACCTGGATTCTGTTGAATATGGTCAGCTTGGACTTGGAGTCCTGGGGCGGCTCTGCTGGAGGCCCGGCCGACGAGAAGGAGGCCATGGCTACCTGGCTCGGGGAGGCCGTGCAGCCCATATCCATTTTCACCTTCTCCTTCCGGAAGCCCGAGAAGCGCTGGGACCTGGGGTTGCCTGAGAAGAGCCTGTAGCCTCCGCCCCGGGCGCAGGCCTGGCTCTTTTCACCTTTAGTGGCCCCCAATGCCATGCCATTCTCCGCCTGGGCCTGCTTCCCTGGGAGCTGGGCTCCGAGGGGCTCCTCCCCACCTAACTGGGTCTGCCGTGGGCCCCCGGGGGAGAAGATGTCCCCCAGGTCCAAGGTCCCTTTTGTGGATCTCAGCTGCTTGGCCAGAGAGGAGATGTCCGGATTGCCAGGAGGGTCCAACAATGAGGCCGTGAGGGACGGCGGAGTGGTGGCCACTTTGGGTCCTCCCTTTGAGTTCCGTCTGGTGCTGGCTGGGGAGGCCTCCCGGGGGAAAGCGGGCGTGATTTTCCTCCTGCGGGCTGGGGACCCCTCTGGCTCTGGGCTTCCAGGGCCAGCATGGAGAGAGTCGACAGGGGGTGCTGGCAGCGGGGGCTGCTGTGGCCAGGGCCCTGGCAGTGGCTTCAGGGTGGCCTGCTTGCCCTCAGGCCCGGGGAGCTGGGAGAAGATCCGCTGGGACTTGGTGATCATCTGGAACACCTGCATCTGCTCGTGGCTCACCAGAGACTCCTGGGACTTCAGAAAGAGCTGCCGGAAGAGCGGCGTGGCATCCGACGGGAGCCCGCTTGGCTTCTGGGCATCCTGGAGGCCCGGCTCCCCTGGGTTTTGCCACGAGAAGGAGTCGCAGTCAAACTTGCTTTTCTTGGAAACCCACGAGTCGTCTTCCCCACCGGCAGATCGGGAGTCACCGGAGGCCTCCCCAGGTGCCTTCAGGAGCGTGGCAGGGAAGGGCAACGTGTCCTCCAGACTGGTGGTGCCCGAGCTGGGCGAGGGATCTCCTGCGGGGGACGTGCTGCTGGGCCCCGGGCCTGACTCACAGCCCTCCCAGGGCGGCACTGACGGGGCCTTGTGGACCATGAACACGTTGTTCCCTTTGCTCTTGGGGCAGCTGGGCAGGTTCCGGAGCCACTGGAAGTTGTGGCTGGCTGGCTGGGAACTGGCAGGGACCGTCTGGCCTCGGAACAGAGGCAGGCAGGCAGGCAGGGGGCCACCCTCAGGCCAGCCCTCCAGGGTGGGCGGCAGCGGGAGCACAAGGGGCTCGGACTCCGCTGAGTCGGTGCCACCGTTCTCCACAGCTCTCGAGTGGACGGCTGTGAACATGGCAGCGGCAGGCTCCTTCCTTGCGGGACGAGGCTCCTCGGGAACGTCCGTGCCCAGGTTTCCGGGGGCTGCCGGGATGCTTGCCGGGGTGCAGGGGGAGGGCCCGGAAGAGGGTGCGCAGGGACAGGCCGCGTTCCTCCCCTCTCCACCGTCTGAAGGCCCTGCGGCCGCTGGGACAGAGGAAGGAATCTTCTGGTGGACGATGCTGCTCACGATGCAGCGCAGGAGGTCTCGGTTGGGCAAGAGGGAGCTGGGGGACCTGGCTTCCGGGGGCGCCAGGGATCGTGGGCCAGTGGGCGCGGGCTGGCCGGCCGCCTCGGGAGCGTGAGGGGAGTCCCCGCAGGCCTCCTCTTCCGGGGGGGCCTCCTTGAGGATGCACAGGCCATGCTGCACCTCGTAGTGACGGCGCAGGGAGCGGTAGTCACAGTAGCTCTTGCTGCAGCCCTGTTCGATGCACACGAACGGCTTGGTCTTCTGATGGGTGAGCATGTGCCCGGTCCTGGAGCCACACGGGAGGAGCAAGTCAGCGGGTACCTTGGCCGCCGCTCACGGTGGGACCCCAAGTGGGTCCCCAAGGGGCAGTGGTGCATCCATGTCACCAGTCAGAAGCTACACTCGCCCCCCCCCCATGAGGAAAGACCCAAGCGGCCCCTCCGATGGCCAAAGCAACACAAAGGGTTCTCCTCTCTCCAACTTTTCAGCAAACCCCTTATGGGAGGGGGGAAAAAATATCAAAGAAAGGCAGACTGGCGTTCCCCAAAGTGAGTTCCCAAGGAACACCAGTCCTCCAGAGTTGCTCCCTGAGGACATGGGCTCACCTGGCAAGGAAGTTTTGAAAAAAACACTCTTTGCTCCTTGGAGGTTCAGAGTAGCAAATTTAAGAGCCACACAGTACATAGATGTCTCTCTCACCTCCCATGTCTCTCAAACTTACTTGCCCACAGCACCATCTATTCAAATAGCCCCTTTTAGCATCCCTGAGGACCAATGTTCTGCAGGATACACTCGAGGAGATACTTACTGGATGGAGCACGACCCTTCCCTTAGCCAAAGAGTCTTTGCCTTCCCATAGCACTCCTCTAAGGAGACACCTACCTGGAACCTACCCCCGGGGAAAAAAAAATTTACAGATGCCCCATCAGTAAAAACTTTCTAGCAAACAGCCAAATGCGCCTCCTGTAATTTCTGCAATTAAGTAAATACGAATATGTACTACGTTTACGTCATACTTCCAGCTATATCAACATATCATTGGCATAAACAAATGAGTAAATCCCGCTCTAGGGTTCCCAACAGCCCTACCCTGGCCAGTCTAATCTCCATGGCACATGGGGTTATCTCCAGTAAATAGTACAGCCCTCCCTCCAAAGCCCTTCTGAGGGGAGCTGCAGAGGAGGAGTCGGGAGACCCAGTTTCTAGTTAGGAGCATCATAAAAATGCAAGGTCTTGCCATCTTCCACTGGCAAGTCTCTGGGTTTGAAAAAAAAGTGTGCCTTTCCAACCTCACTAGCAAGAAAAGCTCATCATTTCCAAGATACTGAGAACAAAGGGAATTCTGGCTCCTAACTCTTACAATGGGCTTTATTTTTTTTAAATCAAGAGTTTTGTTTTGTTTTAAAAAAAAGGAGTTTAAAAAATACGTTAATGCTCCAATGCCAGGCATTTCAGAATCAGGCCCCCTGAGTTATTCCCACACACACTCCTCATAAGATACAGATCCATCCTCCTTGGACGCCTACCTGCCAGGGACTCTGAACATTTCTCTATAGTGTTAGCCCAATTCCCTGCATGACAAAATTGCCTTGGGAGTGAGCCCTTGTGTGTCTTGAAACCCTCAAGGGTCCCGCCTGCAACTGAAGCAGCGTTTTCCTCCCTGGTGTGAATGTGGGGGCTGGGCAGAGGGACCTGTCCCCGGCAGAGTGAGCCCCGTGGCTCAGAGGGCTGGCAGTGTGACAAGAACAGAGGGGGCGTCCGCGCACAGCTCACAGCCATCTGGGGAGCAGGAGGGGACCCCTGCCGAGCGCGGGCCGGGTGGCCTGGTGGGGGGTGTGAGGGAGATCCAGGAGCAGTGCGCCCATTCCCCACCGGCCCCCTAACCACTCTCCTACATACCAGCGCGTCCATTCCCCACCAGCCCCCTAACCACTCTCCTACATACAGGTGGTCCTGGCGCTTGAAGGCCTTGTTGCAGATCTTGCAGACGTGCTTCCTCTCCTGGCTGTGTGTCAGGTAGTGCTTGCTAAGGGAGCTGGCGCTGCTGAACACCTTCCCACAGAGGCTGCAGTCCAGAAGCGGGTTCTGGGAGGAAGCATGCTGCCGCTTTCCTTTCCTGGTGCTCCCACAGGTGGCCCTGCCTCCTTCGTCAGCCTCCTTAGGCACCTTGAGGGTGCCGAGCCCCAGGTCTAAACAGAGGGAGGGAGCACAGGTTAGGGCCGTGTGGGGACATCAGAGGGCACGGCTGAAGCACTCGGCGGGTCTCACGGCTACAGCCCGCTGGGGCAGAGGGGCCAGGTCCACGCCCTCCAACTCCAGCGGCTTCAAGCATAGAGAACAGGAGGAGGGGGAGAAGGGACCCCGGTCAGGCCAGCCCCGCGGGATGGCACTCGGAGGGACGGTCTGGGACAAGGTGACCACCGTGGGCCGGGCTTTATGGCTAGACCATCCATGGCACTCTCGAAGGCCAAACCAGAAAAATAGAATCCAAGACCTTAGCAAAGTACAAATCCTTCCTTGCAGCCAATTCCACTTCTGGGATGTTAAAGGAATAAATATGTATTTGTACAAAGAGGTAGCTGGTAAAGCAGTTAACAGTAGCACTGCGTTTCCTGTTAGCAACAACCTAGCATCTGACAAAAGGGCACGCAGGGGACCACAGGACGCTTTCAATGGTCTAGGACACAGCATTTAAGATAAAACCGTGGGAAAATATCTGACGACATGAACGGATTTTCATGCCACGCTACTCGGTGAGAAAACAGCAATCTGTTACAAAACAGAAAAAGACAAAACAATTTGAATAGAAAACAAGCTGAGAGAATGGCATAGACTGGGAGGATTATGGGCCACTTCCAGTTTCCTCTCTTCGTGTGTTTGAATGTTTCCCTGTTTTCTGTATCCCTTGGGGTAAAATGATAAAAGGTATGTTTACAAACCACTCACCTGGGGACCCGGGGAGGGGACAGGGAATGCTCAGGCGGGAGAGGGGCGGGGTCGTCAAGCATCTCAAGGGCCAGTGTGTGGAGAGGGAACCACCCGCTTGTCTTGCTCCAAGGGACAGAGATTAGGTTTGGTGTCATCTGACTAAAGAGAAGCGGATTTCAAATCACTGGACACATAGAGCCCATGGATGCAAGGACGCTGCGGGCTCCTGCTGTCCCCAGCGCCTGGAATTCCCTCCGGGCACTCGTGGTCACTCCACAATTGTCTGGTGGACGGACCAACTGTGGAAGATATTCCTGGTCTTTAGATTGGTCTTCAAGATGGTTGGGACCGCCTCATGAGATGGCAAGTTTAGAAACCGCCACTTCTCTTGGGCGCTGCAGGGAGGGGGGAGGCAGGAGTGGGCACAGCAGGTGCAGCGAGAGAGACACCGCAGGAAGGAGCCTGGACTGGAGTCTCCCAGCTCTGTCCGGCCGTGGGCCGTCTGTCTCTCAATGTGCCTGCTCTCCTCTTCGTGTAAGAAATTACCGTGGCAAGTGGTCGACTGATCCCAACAGTTTAAATGTGGAATAACAGAACTCCTGTCGGAGAAGTCCTCAGCCCTGCTGAGCTACTTTAAAAATGCTCATTAAAGCAACTATTAAACCAGAAAACAAAACGTTGTTCCAAAAAATTGGCAAGGACACTGAAAATCAGGCAGGGTCACCGGCCAAGGAAGCTGCCGGATCTTCACAGAACACAGTGTTAGGAGAGTGTTATAAAACGGCGTACGTTCTCTGACAGACAAACCTACTGGGAGGAATACGTTCAAAGAACTCATCTGAAAGGAAGCTCGACATGTAAAAAGTTGTTCAGCTCGGTTAACCCATCTAAGCGACTTATCCATGAAAAGAGTTAGCAAAAATCGAATTTGGGGCGCCTGGGTGGCTCAGTCGGTTGAGTGTCCGACTCTTGATTTGCACTCGGGTCATGATCTCGGGGTCGTGAACTTGAGCCCCGAGTTGGGCTCTGTGCCCCAGCAGGGAATCTGCTTGAGATTCTCTTTCTCCCTCTGCCCCTCCGCCACCAAATAAACAAATAAATCTTTTAAAAAATTTTAAAAATCGGGATTTATCTTGTAGGGGAGGCCTGAAAGCAAACCAAAAACCAAATGAAAATTGCACCAAGGCCGCTAACTAGCCCACCAGTCCTCCTTTTGCTCCTCTACTGTTGGAGAGAGAGACTTAGAACGGAATCGATGGACGGCCTCAGATGAACCCCAGCGATTCTGATGGAAGTAAGTACTATCTGTCACGTGCTCTGCAGTCCATGCACTGTTTTCACATTCCTTTCTCCTCTTGCTTCTTACTGCTGTTACTCTGGGGGAAGCAGAGTGAGCACTCTCATGACCCCCCCTTCACGGATGAAGACACTGAGGCTGGGGAAGGTTAGCCAACCAAGTGACAGACAGACAGGATCCCAGGTCGCTCTGCAAACATGAAAAGGGCCTCTGAGATGTAAGCGGTAGGAAAATCTCCTATGAACTTAAAAGTCTGCCCACACCACACACAAGATCAGGACATCCACAAACGGCCCAGTTTCTCAACATTATTCCTTAGGATCAGTGTTCTGTTTCCTTGACTAGGAAGTTGGAAATAATTCCCAAGTTAAAAAAGAAAGTGTCCCCTGTTCCCTATTCACCTGTGGAAGATAAAAATTTTCCTATCCAATCCCCGAGCCGGCCACAGGAGCTTTCACACAGCCCTCTGGGCCCTCGGACCCAGGTAGACAGCCTCACCTTGTAAGGAAGCCTGAGATTCCGGGTCTGCGTACTCCTCCAGCAGCTTCACAGAGTCACTGTCCTTCCCTGAGTACAGGGACAGTGTGTCTAAGTTGTCCTCCAGTGCCTCGCTGGCCAAGTCAGGCGTTGGGAGGCTGGGGTCCAGGTCCAAACCACTCAGGCCAGCGTAGAGCAGGTCTCGTGTGCTGGGACCCAGATCCCGGTTGAGGGTGTCACTGCAATTGAGTCCCTGGCTCTCGGAAAATGAAGGGAGATGCATCTCTGGAGGGAGGGCACCCTCATCCCCGAGGCTGTACTGGTCCATGGCTCTCCACTGCCAGGTCTTGGCCAAGAGCTACTCTCCAGACAAGCAAGGCCGTGTAAGGAGTCAGGGAGGAAAAGCTCTTGGTGCTGTCTAATTCCTGAAAATGAATGAGGAGGAATCAAAATTATGAGATGGCAATACAGAGTCGTGGATGGAGCGTGGACTTGGAATTCAAACAGACCTGTGTTTGGGTCTGTTCTCTGCCACTTAACAGCCATGTGAACTTGGGCAAGTCACTTAAGCTCCACGAGCCCCAGTTTCCTCATCTGTAAACTGGGCATAAGAGTACCTCCATCATAAGGTTGTTGTAAGGAATAAATGAAAGGATTTCCAGCAACATGGTGGACAGAACTGACCTCTTTCTCCAGCTATAAACACAGAGAAATACGACAAAAGATAATTTTTAATACCCAGCCGAGCTCAGGAAACAGGCAAAACCCCATGTGCCAGCAACAATGAGAAAACGCAAAGGCAACTTCAAGGTGTAGGCTCAAGTCAGCCAGAGGGGAAAGTCAGACTCAGATACTGAGCCTGTTGTCCAACACGGTGGCAATTAGTCATACGGGGCTGTGAAGCACTTGACACATGACTGGCCCAAACTGAGACATGCCATAAGTCTAACCTGCACACTGAATTTGGAAGACTTAGTACCAAAAAAAAAAAAAAAAAAAAGTAGGTTTAGTATGTTTTTATATTATTACATGTTGAAATGATAATATTTTGGATACAGTGGGTGACATATGTGATTAAAATGAATTTCATCTTCCTCTTTTTAGTTTTTCAATGTGGCTCCTAAAAAACTTGAAATTATATATATATGGTTCATATTATATTCCTATTAAAGAGCATTACCCCGGAGGCTGGGACCCAGGGTCATAACAGACATGGGAGAAAAGGAAACAGGGCCCTGAGCTTGTAGGAAGTGGAGATCTGGGACCTTGGAAGAGCCAGGCCATCCATGGGAAAACTAAACAATTAAAAAGAAAAACTGTGCACACGGGGTGCCTGGGTGGCTCAGCAGGTTAAGTGTCTGCTTTCAGCTCAGGTCGTGATCCCAGGGTCCTGGGATCGAGCTCTGTATCAGGCACTCTGCTCAGCATGGAGTCTGTTTCTCCACTCAAATAAATAAAATCTTAAAAAAGAAAAGAGGAAAAACTCTGCACACAAGCCTAGAGAAGTACCCCAAGAGTTAGGAAGAAAACAGGGCAATGAGAGACAACAAAACCTAGCATGAGAAAAGAGTAAATCAGTTCAGGGCAAGAACAAACAAGTGAAACTTGCATGAAGACATTTAAATTAAAAAAGCTCACTGGGAAGGGCTAAGCAGCAGAAGAAACAGCGCTGAAGAGAGAAATAATGAACTGGCAGAGCAATCTGAGGAAATCCCCCCAGAATTCAGCGCAGAGAAAGAAATGGAAAATATGAAGCTGAGACACTACAAATGGAGAAGCAAATGCAAAAGACTACCACTGTCCAACAGGAGTTTCCCCCCAAAAAGAGGAGAGACTACAGAAGACACATTTTTTTTTAAAGATTTTATATTTAAGTAATCTCTATACCCAGTGTGGGGCTCGAACTCACGACTCCAAGATCAAGAGTCGCAGGCTCCACTGACTGAGCCAGCCAGGCGCCCCAGGAGACACAACATCTTCAAGAGATATTGGTGGAGAAATTTCCAGAATTGCAGGGACACCAGGCTTAAAGCTCATAATTCCTGAAGGTACATGGTTAATGACCAAGCGCTGCAAGGCAGAGCAGGATGAGTAAAAATGAATTCACTCCTCAACACACAATAGTAGAACTGCTGACCATGAAAGACAGACAGGAGACCCTACAAAGGACCAGAAAGAAGAGGCAAACAGTCTACAAAGGGATGAGGACTAGCTTGATGGCAAACATCTCAGAAGAGCAGAGGCTAGGAGACAAGGAATAACACTGCCAGCAGAAGTGCAAGAGCCGGCACAGAACTCAATGCGCAGGGAAACTAGTATCAAGAGGGCACAACAAAGACTTTTTCAGACAAGGCATAGGAGGCTGCCCATAAACCTTGGCTCAAAGGCTAATATAGGTTTTGAACCATTTGGAAAAGAAGAGACAATGATTAACTTCGCACTTTACCTATGCTAAAAGAATCCAAGTGTAACTACCGAAAGAAAAGGAATAAACTATGCAACATCTGAACTAGTAGAATTTATCCCGCCCCCAAAAAGAGAAAAAAGACTCAAATGACTAAAATTAGAAATTAAAGCAGAAACACAACCAGAAAGGATTATAAAAGATTACTATGAACAACTGCATGCTAACAAATTAGGTTAACTTTGAGAAAAATGGACAAATTCGTAAACAGACACCAATTACCGAACTGACTCAAGAGGAAACAGACTATCTGCATAGCCCGGTGAGAAGGAAAAAGACTGAGTTAGCACCTGGAAAACTTCCCACCCATGCCACCGCAATGGAAAATCGACTTTATTGGAACTCTGGAAAACAGTCCAAGGTTTACTGCAAACAAGACAAAGGGGGATGAAACACGGTCCTGTGGCATTTTAACTTACTCCTGTCTCATCCCCCAACCCCCCCCGCCCCCCAGCAGTGGTTTTGAAGACAGAAGCCCCGTTCTGGCGTGGGCTCCTAGTGCAGAAGGGAGCAGAGATGATCTTGTTCTCACACAGCTGAGCTCGTCCGTCCTGACCTGTCAGAAGGCTCCCGAGGGGCTAACACGGAGGTCTTGCCTTGATTTTGCCTAACTTGGAACTTTCTCAGCAGAGAACAGTCATGGGGATGGCACTTGTTGAAAATATTAAAGGCAATACTGTACACCCAAAATTCATATAAGGATATATGAATTATACTTCAACTAAAAAACGCTCAAAAATTAAAAAATAAAAGCAATGAAGCAGGTGCTGCAGCCCAGGGCAAAGGATATGAATTGGGGCCAACAGCAGATACGCCACTGAAAGCCAGGGAGGAAGAGCTAAACAGTGAGAGACTTTGAAGCCTAAGGGCTTTGAAAAGCTTCCATGCTGGCAGTTTCTTACAAAGCTAAACACGGTCTCACCATACAATCCAGCCATCACACTCCTTGGTATCTACCCCAGTGAGCTGGAAACGTATGTCAACACAAAACCTGCACACAAATGTTTACAGGAGCTTTATTCATAACTGCAAACAACTAGAAGCAACCAAGATGTCTCTCAATAGGAGAATGGATAGCCAAACAAGAGTGATCCTGAATGGCACATATGTACAATGGAATGTTATTCAGCAATAAAAAGCAAGGAGCTAGCGGCTCCTGGGTGGCTCCGTCGGTTAAGCATCTGCCTTTGTATGGGTCATGATTCTGGGGTCCTGGGGTTGAGCCCTGCATTGTGCTCCCTGCTTGGTGGGGAGCCTGCTTCTCCCTCCACCTCTGTCCTTCTTCTCCTCCTCCCCCCAGCTTGTGCTTGCTCTCTGTCGCAAATAAATAAAATCTTAAAAAAAAAAAAAAAGGCAAGGAGCTATCAAGCCACAAAAAGACATGGAGGAACCTTAAATGCATGTTGCTAAGTGAAAAAACCTGGTCTGAAAAGATTACATATTATATGATTCCAACCATAGGGCATTCCGAAAAAGGCAAAACTATGGAGACACTAAAAGACTGGTGGATGCCAGGGTTCGAGGGGAGGGAAGAGGGATGAATAGGTAAAGCACAGGAGGGACTTTGAGGGGAGTGAAACTATTCTGTGTGATTCATGTAATAGTAGGTACATGACATTATACATTAGCCAAAACCCACAGAACTACACGACACAAAGAGTGAATCCTAATGTAAACAATGGACTCTAGTTAACTAAGAATAAAATAAATTTTTAAAAATAAAAACCGTCCACGTATTTCAAGGACTCGAGAAGGCCATGTGCCCACGGCAGGCACATGCTCAGAAAACACTTGTGAAGGCTCTGAGCTCTCACTTCTGGCTGCCCGTCGGTCTGTGAAAGCAGGAAGTAAAGGTGAAGGCAGAGGTGCAAACTCCCGTGGAGCGCTGAAGGTGTGTCCCAACACTCACACAGAGCCCAACCGCAAAGACTGGGAGATATATTTGGACTCCAGGCACTTAAGGAAATCTCCGCCAAATCATAGCTGACCGCAAACTAACAGAGCAGAGACTTCGCTCACCACACACAACAAAGAATACAGTCTACAAAAAGAGTCTGCAAAAGTTACTAACCTAACATTACAACCCATAAGCAGCAGCAGCAGCAACAAACCCTGGGGTAGGGGGGAGGAGAATCTGATTCTAAGAGTCACCACCACATTATAATATCCAAAATGCCCACTTTCTCAACAAAACTAATTACAAGGCAGGCACACAAAGTTTGGCTCAATGAGAGGGCTAACCATGTCATACAAATGATAGACTCAAACAATATCAGCCTTTTACGTCTGGCTGCTTTCATGAAGAACAGCATTTTCAAAGTTAATCCACATTGCGGCGTGCATCACTACCTCATTACTTTTTTATCAACAGACAATACTCCACCGTCTGCATATAGCACATTTCCTTCAACCATTCATCTGTTGATGGGTATTTGGGCTGTTTCCATTTTAGGCTATTATGGATAATTCTGTCCTCACCTAAACATTTAGTAAATGCCTGATGACTCACTGGTAACAGATCTGGTGGATCCTAGAATAACTGGAGTTTGGGTCTAGATTCCTAGGCTATTGGTTTCTACTGTTTTTAAACTTTCCATGTTGAAATGTAATAGAAAAGCTGTGCCCACAACATCTGCATTTCACGTCATGCATCTACCTGCATGTCTGTGTGGAGCTTATTGGGGGAAACTCAGAAGGTGAATACAGGCCCACAGCAGTACAACTCTGAGACCCAAGTGAGTTCTAGAATTCAGAATATGGGGTAAATCAATGAAAAACACTGTATTTTAAGTAACCTTCGGTGGGTCTGGCAACCAAATCACTATTTCTGCATCGAGATCTGTGATGACTCAGAGTAAATGGAATAAATACTGTAAAGAATAACATGTGAGTTCAGGTTTGCCCACCAAATGAGGTCTGCGACACCCTGGCATTGTCCGAGTTTTTTGGGTTTTTAAACTG